CGAGACAATACAAATTGGTAACTACAATATGGCCTCAGGGATAGAAAAGACAGTCTGGGGAATATAATCAATAATGTTGTAAATATTTTTTAGGGGACCAGATGGACTCATGTCTTATCAGAGAGACCACTTCATAGACAGTGTAGAGACCTGACCACCACACTGTATTTCTGAAGCTGATGTTGAATAATATTGTATGTCAACTATAATTATATATACATATAGTCTCGGGACGTGGAGTAGAGTGTAGGAATGGAGTCAATGGAATTGTAATAGATAAGTATGACATAGGGGGTGGGAAGGCAGTGGATAGGGGGAGGAGGGTTGTTACTTTGTGAGGGGTGAAAAGGATAACTATTGCATGGTTCTGTATACCTAAAACTAACAATAAAAAAAAAAAAGAATGAGTAGATCTGCGTAGGTTAATAGAGAATGATCTACAACATATATAAACAACTTTTTTTTAAAGATCAAAGTACAGAACAGTGTTATTATATTAAATGGTCTATATAACAGAGATAAAAAGAGCAATAAAGATAAAAATAAAAACAGAGCCAGAGCTAGAGATGAGAGAGAAAGAGAAGGTGGGGGCAGAGGCATTGAGCAAAAGTGTAGATGTGCATAACTTCTTAAAGTGCAGGTGTGAATAACCTTTTCTTTTTCCTGTAAGAAATGTTTTATAGGAATTACATTTGGGGAAAAATGACTGAGAAAGAGAGGCAAAGAGACTTCTTACTTTTCTGTAGTTTAAAATTTCTAAGACATTTTACAAATGTCTTTTTGTTTATTTACTTCTCTCTTCACATATATCTGTATATATACATGTGTATATATGTGTATAAAATACATATTATATAATATGCATTATGTGCAAATAATCTAACAAATGTTATTTATGACACGCTATGTGTAATTTCATTTCCTTATTTACATGTTTGTGAATTTTTCAGTTTTAAATAATTACTATGCATTACTGTTAAAATCAGAAAAACACATAGCAGGGGAGAACAGGTGCTAAATGACATTTCTAGGTTCACCGAAGCCATTTATCTGAACATCCTGTTCATCCCTCACTCCTCAGGCCTCTTTGAAGTCAGAATCACCCAAGTTTAGTCTTTATGGCATCAGATCAGTTCAACTAAAGCAAACAGATTCACTAGACCGTGAGATGTGAAACACTTTCGCATGGCTGATTCTGGGATGTTGCAATACATGCAAACCACAGTAGCTCAGTTGAGGCAATAATGTCAGATGTCTAATGCAGGGCATTACCTCTGGTTCATAAACCTCATTTTTCTATTGACTTTGGCTGGCCTATCAACAGTGCATGCTGGACCCTAAGAACCTGTAGGGGAGGAGGGATTGAGAAGTGAAAAAAGGAAAAATAGGGAAAGTCCTATAGTAGAAATATAGATAAGGAAAATGCTTATAACCGAATTACTCCTCCTTAAGGGTATTGTTTAGACAGACTCATTCCAACTGCCAACCCATAAATTCTGAGTAGCACTCACTCTCATAAGCTGCATATGTAAATATGCTTAGCTACGCTTATAGCTGAGATAATGAGATCTCACGATACATTGTTTATGGTTGTTGACTTGTCCTGCCTCCTCTTCTTTATGATGTCCACTTGAAATTTTCCTTCACTTTGCTTTTCCTTCATCATACTCTCTTCACTATCTCTTTCTTTACTTTCAAAATATCTATGAATTCTTAGCCATTTTTAACCTTTCTTCATCCGCTCTATCAATGAGATTTTCACCCCTTTCTTATTTGCTCTTTAAGTTGGTCCCTCACTTTGTTTTTGAAAATAATTGAAGCTCACTCAATAGCTGGCTCCTATCAGTTATCAGAATCCTTACCAATCCTGAAACTGAAGGCAGCTTTGTTGAAAAAAGAGTTGCCCCGGGCCAGCCGAGTGGCTCAGTTGGTTAAGAGCTCACTCAAGAGTGTGAGCTCTGAGCAACAGGGTTGCCGGTTCGATTCCTGGCCCAAGCTGAGCTGCTGCTGAGCTGCCAACAGGATGGCTCAGCTAAAAAAAAATAATAATAAAATTTTAAAAAATAATAAAAAATAAATAAATAAAGAGTTGCCTCTACACTCATAATGCAAAGCTATATCTCATAAAAAGTATTGCACTCACAATTGGGTTACCAACGGCTTTCAAATAAGAGTAAATCCCTGTGTGGATTGGGGATACATGTGCCAAAATTCATTCTTGACTGACCTGGACTCCACTGACAATGGTAGGAAGAGAGGTAGGAAAATGAATGGAACCATGTGCTAATTTGAACCCAATAATCCCAAGAATTTGAGTTGCTGCGCCTTTTTCAGTAAAATAAAGTGACAGAGAACAATATTCACTTTACCTTTCCTGCGCCTGTTCCATTCCCGCCCTCTTCTTTGATAACAAGCTCCAGCCCCTACTCTTTTTGTAGTTCTGTAATTCATCTTGCATGCTCTGGCTTTTACATTCTATGCCCAGGTTTTAGGACTTCCCTTTTTATTACACCTGAAGGGTTCTCTGACTTCTAAGTTTGAACTCTGAAATCCGTAATACCTTCCTGTACCTAACCGAAATCAAGAGAATATTGACATGAGCACTCCGGTTCTATAATTTATTGAAAGGTGTGAGGAAAACTGAAGGATCAATGAACTCATGGTATTCCATAAATTTCAGCTTAGGTCGTTACCTAAGGCTTCCATAAAAGCTCAGACCTAACAAGGAACTAAAATAAAACCAAAAACAAAAACAAAACAACAACAACAACAATGAAAACCTTAAAAGGATCAAGTCAGAAATGTGAGATAACAGAGGTTTGGAATTTCATAAGAGGCACTTGCCAGTACTTTTATGAGATTCCAATTCTACTACTGCCTTTTTAATTACATATGTAGATGACATTATTTTACTTCAAAGATATAAGTCAGTTCCAGAGTCTTTAAATATAAAGATTACAGGTCTATACTGACTCATGTATTTCTAAAATGGGGACTTCAAATGTTAAAACTTTCATATGTACATATATGATATGCATAAAAACAATGCTAGATATTCCTTATTTTCACAGAAGCATCATTGCATGATTTAAAAAAAAAACCCAATG